CGGGACTCCCCGGACAAGCGCCGGGGTCTCCGGGTGCCCGCCCGCCTTGGAGGAGCTCCACGCGCTGCAGGTGGCTTCATTGTCAGGGCTTGAACTGCTCGATGGCCTGGCACTGAAATGTGCTGAAAACTTGCTGCTGCTTGACATCTAGGGTATTTATTACGTTCCCAACTCCTCATCTGTTAGTATTCGTCTTGAAGAGTATCAGTATTTTAGTTTTTGACCAAGAAATAAAATTACAGTTGTGCTCATTAACCTTACCTGTAAGCCCTGATGATTACACTTCAAGGAACCCGTGTTTTTATCATTTATATCTTCATGCCTAGTATTTAGGGCTTTTTCTGCAGGAACAACAGAGGGTATAAAGATTTCAAAGCAAGCGCAAAGATGATACGCCAAATATGACACCCATTCCTCTTACAGTATTGCGAGTTGTGGGTCTTAGCAGTTTTGCCATGTAGTTGCGAAATGCAAAAAGCGAAGAGAGGACTGTATGGGTGATGATGGGTTGGTGTGAGAGCCCAGCTCTGGAAGACTTGCAGTTCATTTTAGTGGGGTTCGTTCCTCTCTGTATAGCAGGATGATTTAATTTCATGTATTTGACATTTGCGTGATCTGCTCCTGCAGCCCTGATGCTCCCAGCGGTGCATTTTTGTAGCGAGCAGACCAGAGAAGCACCCCTCGACTTGATCAGACGTGGGAAGCCCCAAGCGCAGGTTGCAAAATCCGGGGCCTGGCGAGAGCCGCACGGGAGGCCGGAGTTGGAAGGGCCGCTTGTGTCTGTAGATGGTGCGCGTGTTACAGCCATACAGTCTACGTGTACAGTGCGCTCACGCGTGTATGTAATTGTTCGGGGACCTGTTACTAACGTTGACGATGGGTGCCATTCCGGTGTAACGGCGAGGAACGCGCTCTGTGGTCCTCTCTCCGCGCAGCAGCCCGGCGCGTGAACCCGGCCCTTTCTCGGGGAGCGGCTGAGGTAGTGACGTCTTCAGTGCTAGATGCAAGGAGAAGGCAAACAAAAGCACTTCACTGCTTTTTTACACTTTTGCTGTCAACAAATATTGTACAGACAAGTTTAGCTACAGCTGAGGCTGGTGGCCAGGTGGTGAATTCCAAAACAGCTCCAGTTTTGAATGCCTTCGGGGAGAGAACTTGACTGAGCAGAAGAGAGACGGCTGTAATTTCTCAGGCAAAGCATTAGCTGCCAGAGATGAGCTGCTGAGATATTTGGCCATTTATTTTATTGAAATATTTATGTCTCATCTAATAAAAAGTTGACTCTCAACCAGTTCTGCATCTAACGCTTTGACACTGGGTGACGCCCCGTCACAATTTTAAAACAAAACCTCAAAAATCAGTCTCTGGGTTTTTTGATGAGAAGTAGCTTTCTTACTAAAGACTATGGGAGGGTATTTTGCCAGAGACCTAACCAGTGACAGGAAAAAAAAAAAAAAAAAAAACCCACCACCAAACCCTGTTGCAGGTTTCCTTTCAGTCTCACTTGTAGCGCAGCTTTACGCTAACCAGCGTAGTACAAACGTTTGATGCTGCTTTCTCAGATCCTCATTTTTTTAAAAAATGTAATTTTCTTACTGCGTGCCAGCTAGCTATCTTACGACTCCCTCGGTTAGCCACATGTCATCTGTGTCCCACAGTATCAAGCGTAATTACGTATTTAAAAAGTGGGAAGGGGAGGTGAGGAAGAGAAAAGAGTGGCTGCTTTGCCTCTTACTCTATTGGAGAAGTACTTGAAATTCCTCACATTCTTCTCCTGTTAACAGTATGTTTACTTTTCATCACTGGGTTATTAGGATTAACAAAAAGTCATTGCTTCAAGCTCATTTAATTTGAATTTAGTGAAAGCAAACTACCTCCCGCGGACTGTAGGAAACATTCTTCTGCCACAGAAATGTATTAATTTGCAAAAAGCAGCCACCAAAAAATGTGAGACCCGACGACCACTTCCACCCCAACGTTCAACATCACCGTGCATGCGCTGCATTCTAATGAAGCACCTTATGTTGCAAATTCCAGGCCGGTTTGAATAATCTGACAGTCTAATTAACAGCGCAGTCTCTCTCTCCAACATTTGCTTTCAATGCTAAGCAGCTTTTTCTGTAGAGGCTTTCTAGAGCATGGGGTTGCAGGCTGCATGGCTCACTTCAAAATGTCATTTACCCAAAGAATGAGATTCAGCTTTCTAGTTCCTTGCTGCATCTGTAGTAGAGCTCGTTTTTTCAGAGAATCTAAGCTTTTCACAATTCAAAGTTTTCACAGAAAGCTCTTGCATTTGCTGCAATTGTCTGTTGCCTATCAGAATGCTCTACTAAGAGTAGTTAGGTAAATATTTCTTTATTAAATGATTAATTCCATAAATAAATTCTTTTAATTCATTGCATATAAAATTAAAATCATTTACAACTTATTCCAGTATTACAGGGGCTGGAAGGGGTAAAAAAAAAACCAAAATAAACCAAAAAACAAAACAACATCAGAGGAAAACAAAAAAGCTACAATTTGATAAATAAAATACTCAGCTTTAAAACAACTGATTTCTGTTTGCCATTAAACTACAGTTGGTACATAATAGCTGCCACTGTGAACACCCCACAAGTGCCCACCTCAGGAAGGAATGTAACTTCCAACTTGGTTGGGAATGGGTGGGAGAAGATGGAGGGAAGGGGAAGAAGCATAGTGTTAAATTGAACAGGATAGGGAAAAAAGAAAAAGTTTTCATAACCGGAACAAAACATTTATCTGATCACTTACAAACAGAAAACAGTATATAATTAGGTAAGGTGCTCCAAAAAGAAGCAGTAAACTTGCTCCAGTACTATGAAGCTTTAAAGTATGCTTAAATCTCTGTTGCATTAGCGTCCAGTTGCACAGTGCACTCTCGTAACATCTCAATGTTGCCCTCAAATGGGCAGGGCACCACTTCCACCAGAGGTCCTTTCTCCATGGCTGGTTACTTCAAAATTCTGTTTAGCATCCCACCCCCAATGCGACTTAGTCCCTAAATTTGTGAATGTCGTTGACTAGTCTGTAGTAGGGGTAAGCTTCATTTGCGTGCGGACAGTTGTAGTTGCATCGGCAGGACTGGATCATCATGACGCTCTTGGTGAAGGTTTCCCCGTCGTCGCAGCGGAACCTGATCTTGACAGTCCTGGTCTGCTGAGGGGTACAGCACCTGCCGTCCACGCAGGAGCCGCAGTACTTGGGGCGGTACTTCTTCACGCTGGAACAGCCGGCGTAAGTAAACTTCACTGGGGATGGGGACTTCTTAGTCTTGGTACATTTTTTTCCCTTCTGTAAAGGAGAGGCAACAACACTGTTAGTGGGAGACACTTCTCCAGCCTCTACCCTCTACCCAAAGCAGTCTGGAAAGAAGAGGAGCGCCAGAAGAGTCTGTATTTACCTTCAGGGAGGCATAGCTAGGCTCGCCACACCTGTTAGTGGGAGACACTTCTCCAGCCTCTACCCTCTACCCTCTACCCAAAGCAGTCTGGAAAGAAGAGGAGCGCCAGAAGAGTCTGTATTTACCTTCAGGGAGGCATAGCTAGGCTCGCCACACGGCCTCACTTCACATATCCTGGTCTCTTTGATGAGCTTGCAGTCGGGGTTGTCGTTGGTAACCCTCGTGGAGATGCCAGTTCCGCACGTCTTCGAGCACTGGGACCAGGAGGTCGTTTGCACGATGCATTTGGGATTCTCAAAAGCTCGGCTTTGTGGCTCGGATCCAAAAACTGGAAGAGAGGAGGGCTTAGCCTAAATACATCCTCTCAGCAGTTCTCTTTGCTTTCCACCGGGGTCTAAGGGGTCGCAGAGCCACCCTCCCACCTCCTCCCCTTAACTGTCACCGTCACTCGGCTTAACCCATACTCACCAGGTAGCATTTTCAGGCCTCCTTTCACAATGGCAATTAGCTCATTGTTCCTGGTTAGTTCGCCTTCGGAATCATCCAGACCAAACTCTTTGCTGAAGAAGCCTTCCAGCTCATCCAGCGCATCCTTGCTCTCATCGCAGACCCACTCTTCGCAGCACTGCCCGGGGACTTTGACCAGCCTGGGGCTGGGACAGCCCAGGTTAGGGAGAGAGAGCTCCTGCGGGCAGAGCGGGATGCAGCCCACAGCTCCATCTATGCACGTACACTGGTGTTTACAGTTCGGCTGGAAGCTTTCACCGTTCTGGTAGATTTTGGAGTTATATTCACACGGTCTCCCCTCGGACTGCGCTGCAGGGATCAACAGAGAGGGGAAGGAGGGAGTCAGCGGCGGGGATCGCTCGTTTAAGCGCAGGTATTTGCTGGGCTGTTAGATTCGATTTACGGTGGAGCTCCCTACAATCCCCCGGGGACGCGGGGCCAGAACAATAAGTTAGTCAGGAATCACTTTTCCTTATGTGCGTTTAGCGCAGCCCAGACATACTGAATCGCATTCCAGACTGCTGAAGTCATGTGCCTTTCTGCCAAGCTACCAACAACAAAGCATAACCATACATGGACTCGAAATTACTAAAACTGCGGCACTACGGAGACTCGGGGGGGGGATTTTGTTTTGGTTTGGGTTATTTTCTCCCGGGGGAGGCGGAGGGCGAGCCGCTTACCTCTGCAGATGCCCTTCAGCGCGGCGGGGCTGGCGCCGAAGTTGCACTCCAGCCCCTTGGTGTGGTCGCAGGGCTGCACCCGGCTGCAGTCCTCGTTCAGCTGCTTGGCGCAGACCTTGCAGCAGCCGCAGCCGTCCGGCACCA